TTTCTCTCTGTGAGTCATTTTGCTGTTCACCTGAAACTAATGTAACATTGTAAATTAACTGTACCTCAATTTAAAAAAATGTTTTTTTAAAAAAATAAAGCTGCTTTAGACATGCCAGTTTAGGTGCCACTGTGGGCTATTGCCCTAGAGGTTTTTCTTTTGTAACATTAACTCTAAAATGCTACCTTTTATTATACAGAGAAATTCACTGTTTTATTGTTGCTTTAAAATTAACTTTTAAATTCCATATATATGTGTTAATATACTGTAATGGTCTTTATCTTTCTGGCTTACTTCGCTCTGTATAATGGGCTCCAGTATGGCTAATTCATTTCAATGTATGACAAAAACCACTGCAATGTTGTAAAGTAATTAGCCTCCAATTAATAAAAATAAATGGAAAAAAAATAAAAATAAAATTAATTTTTAAGATCACATTGTGTTTACTCTCTACTTTGTAAGAACTGAAATGGCTTTTGACCAAAAGTCTGGTGAGCACTGTGGCGGATAGGAACATTTTTTCGTTTTTCCAAGGAAGGAAGAGAATAGAGGGTCTCAGTTATCTGCACTATTGATCTATCTACACTCTTTTGGACAGATCCACTTGTGACCATGTACACACACTTGTAGGGCACCTGGCTAAGGTTCTCATGGGGAAGAGAACAGTTAACAGAATCTGTAACTCCTGATTAAATGATTAACTTTGCCTCATTAGCACCACACTCTAATCATTACACTTGGGAAAGTATTTTTGTATAGGCATTTTTACTCACCACATAAATAAGTTCTGCAAAATTTGTGGATCCAAAGGGGCATAAGTAATCATCATCACCATTGGTAGCAATACTAGCTCACATGTATTGACCATTTAACCTTTTCCAACTATTTAAAATCTATTAATACATTTTATAATATTATTCATTTTACAGATAAGAAACCTGAAGGAGAGTGAAACTTGAACGAAGGTGATACAGCTAGTAAGTCTCTGAATCTGGTTGGTTCTGAGACCAGGGAGTCTGGCTCCAGAGCCCACTCCCATAATTGGTTTTGTTTTGCAGTTTGCAAGAGAGAGAACAATCTTTTACAAAGCACATTCCTAAAATCTCCAACAGGAGCCCTTCAAGCTGTCAGCGGTCAGTGGCGACACCACGTGGTCATATCGGTGTACTGCAGCCTTCATACTCCATAAATCACTCCTGAACAAGCCCTCCTAAAGAAACCTATATTCCAATTAAAGCCAATATTTGCTCGCTTTACAGCGGTAGCTTCCAACCAGAATAACATCCTTCAACTTGCCTTTTTCTTTCTCACAAGAAAAGGTATCTTTTCCCAGCTTAGCTTGCATCTCATTTCTATCTCCCCATGTATTTTACTCCATTATTTATCCCCCCCTTTTCTCGCCTCTTCAATTTCTGTTTCACTAGTGGATCTTCCTGCTCAATCTAAAAATAAGCTCTGGTTTCTCCTATACTGCAATGACAAAAACAAATCAACTAACCTACCTCTCCATGAACATGGACCTTGTTAAAGAAGAGTGATAGATGTTAACTAGACTTATTGTGGAAATCATATTGCAATATATACAAATAGTGAGTCATCAGCACACCTGAAACTCATACAATGTTAAGTGTCAATTATACTTGAATTTTTAAAAAGTGCTCCAATAAAGGGATTACCTTTCTCAAAAACTTTAATTCTTTTTCAATCACTTTCTGAATTAAGTATAAATCTCAGCCCAACATTCAGGATCCTCCAAGACTGGGCCTCAATTTATCTTCTAGTTACATCTCCTACAACTTCTGTGAACTTCTTTGCCCTAAGCTTCAACCATAGATGACTACTCACAGGTCCTCATATGTGATTCCCTGCCTGCACACGTTTGTACAAGGTATCACCTCTCGTTTACCATCTTCAGAGGACTCAGCACAGTTCAGTTCAGTCGCTCTGTTGTGTCCGACTCTTTGTGACTCCATGGATGCCAGGCTTCCCTGTCCTTCACCATCTCCTGGCCCTTGCTCAAACTCATGTCCATCAAGTCGGTGATGCCATCCAACCAGCTCATCCTCTGCCGTCCCCTTCTCCTCCTGCAATCTTTCCCAGCATCAGAGTCTTTTCCAGTCAGTTCTTTGCATCAGGTGGCCAAAGTATTTGAACTTCAGCTTCAGCATCAGTTCTTCCAATGAATATTCAGGACTGATTTTCTTTAGGATTGACTGGTTGGATTTCCTTGCAGTCCAAGGGAGTCTCAAGAGTCTTCTCCAACACCACAGTTCAAAAGCATCAATTCTTTGGCGCTCAGCTTTCTTTATAGTCCAACTGTCACATCCATACATGACTACTGGAAAAACCATAGCTTTGACTAGATGGACCTTTGTTGGCAAAGTAATGTCTCTGCTTTTTAATATGCTATCTAGGTTGGTGATGGCTTTGCTTCCAAGGAGCAAGTATCTTTTAATTTCATGGCTGCATTCACCATCTGCAGTGATTTTGGAGCTCCCCAAAATAAACTCTCTCACCGTTTCCATTGTTTCCCCATCTATTTGCTATGAAGTGATGGGATTGGACTTGCCCCAATTCTTTTTAGTTACTTGTGGCTATTCCCCTGGACTTCCCAGGTGATGCCAGTGATAAGAACCCACCTGCCAATGCAGGAGATGTAAGAGAGGTGGGTTTGATCCCTAGGTAGGGAAGATCCCTTGGAGGAGGGCATGGCAACCTACTCCAGTATTCTTGCTTGGAGAATCCCATGGACAGAGGAGCTTGGAGGGCTATGGTCCATAGGGTCACAAAGAGTCAGAAACGACTGAAGTGACTTAGCACACAGTATTTCTCCCAAAGACACGCTGCAGCTATGAGAGGATAACAGCCCCATTATTTGGGTGACCACCATGTTTTTCAGTTCAGTCGCTCAGTTGTGTCCGACTCTTTGCGACCCCATGCATGTTTTTTACTCACTGAGAAACTTTGTTTTTTACAATCACAGGCTACCAGGAATTTTACTGCTTGAAATCATGTCAGTGAGAATAAAACATTCCACATTTGTCTGGAGCACAGAAGTTTCTTGGACCCAGAGAAGCAGCCTCAATTTCCAATCCAGGTGTAGAGCTTCAGATAAGGGGTATTTGAACATTCCATATCTATCTTTACTTTGTGGTTCCCAAGGAAACAGGACTCTGAGTTCACTTCGAAGTCCAGACCTGATATCGACCCCTTCAGACAACCCCACTTCAAGCTTACTGAAACAGTGCTTCATCTAAAATTCACTGAAACTCTATCCTTCCCCCAACATCATAATGACTCTTTTTGTTTGGTGAGATGCCCCAGGCTTTCTCTTGTGTGCAGACTCTCTTGTTGCAATGGGTCCAAAAACTGGACTTTCCTGATTATAGATTTGTCGGTGGCCTAGTGCTGACTAGGCTAGGGTACATACAGGTCTTGTATCTCACACCACTTAGCTTGTCCAGAGGAGTAGTTCAAAATTGTTCACTGCAGTAGACTCTGAATTAGAGTACTGGGGTTCTAGTTAGACTACCTGGATTGAGTATACAAATTCCAGCCTCATTTTTGCCAATAAATAATTAGCTGGATCATGTTAAGTAGGTCAACACACCCCAATGGCCTGTTTTCTCTTTTGGAAAATGAGGGGCTATTTCTTCCAAGCCTAGGGCTTCAGAGTCAGGTAGGCCTAGGTTGGAATCTCAGTTCTACCCCTTCCTAGTTCTGTGATTTTTGCTTTCCTGAGCCTCTGTTTTGTAAGTATTAAAAATGGAGACAATACCCAAAACCGTACTGTGGATTTTTCAGTGTTACTATGAGGATCATGTTGGCTGTTAGAAGCATTACTGTATTTGATCACTATTGACACTACCACTATTATGTGAGCCCAGACAACCTTTCTGTGCCTCTGTTTTCATATGAATAAAAGTGGAAAAATAATAGTACACACCCCAATGGGGTTATTGTGCGCATTAAATGAGATGAAAAAACTAAAGGGCTAGAACAGTGCCTGGCATATAATCAGAGGCTCAAAATAAGTGTGTGTGTGTTAAGTCGCTTCAGTCGTGTCCAACTCTTTAAGACCCTATGGGCTATAGCCCTCCAGGCTCCTCTGTCCATGGGATTATCCAGGCAAGAATACTGGAGTGGGTTGCCATGCCCTCCTCCAGGGGGAGGTTGCCATGCCTTCCTCCTGGGAAGCCCAAAATACGTGAGCTAATGTAATATTCCATCAGCTTCCTTGATGGCTCAAGAGGTAATGTACGACAAAACCCACTACAATATTGTAAAGTAATTAGCCTCCAACTAATAAAAATAAATGAAAACAAAACAAACAAAAAAAAGAATCCGCCTGCACTGCAAGAGACGCAGGAGACGGGGGTTCGCTTCCTGGGTCGGGAAGATTCCCTGGAGGAGGGCGTGGCAACTCGCTCCAGTATTCTTGCCTGGGAAATCCCACGGCCATCGGAGCCTGGCAGGCTCTAGTCCACGAGGTCTCAGAGTTGGACGCGACTTACATTAGCTCACGTATTTTGTGGGCCAGAAGCTCAGGAGAAACAGTCTAGTTCTAAGGACAACAGCAAAAAACCGGACCGCAGGCTCGAAACAGTGAAACATAAAGCAGCATTTATTTTTCAAAAGCAACTGACACGCCCAGCACTGGGCGAGGATCCGCCCAGTCCTTATTAAATATGGCAGCGAGCAAGGCCGAGCTACTGCGGCTGCGCGCACGGAAACTCCTCCCTGCACCGCCTCCGCCGCGGCTCTCCCCGCCCTGCTAACTCCCGGGCGGGGATCACCTCCTCCCCACCTCGGCCGAGGAGTGGGGAGCGTGCTGGCTGGGGCGCGCACGCGCAGACGGCGGCCGTGCTTGGCAGATCTTTGCGAGGCGCCTGTCACATGAGCCGCGGGCCCGCTCCGCTCCCCCTCCTCCTGGCTGGGCTGTGAATGAAGCTCTGCCGGCTACGTGGGGCGCTAGCTCAACTTAGAGTCCCGGACGCCAGAGCCGACTGAGCGCTCGGCCCGCCGGCGGCGGACACGGGCTCCGTCGCTCCGGATCTCGGCGACAGGTAAAGACAAATGGGCTGTCTCTACTGCAGCAGGTCTTAGGCGGGCCCCTGGTCCCCGGCCCACCCCCAGAGCACCCCCTGGGCGTAGAGACACAGGGGAGGCGCTCCCCCGCTGCCTCGGCCCCCCGGAGATAGGGGTTCCCCGTGCCTGGCCGCCACCGCCTGGCACTCGGAGGAGTTAGACCGGCCAGTTCTAGCCAGTGCAGGGCGGCATCTTCCAGGGAGCCCAGCCCTATTCTCCGAGCCAGGGTCCCTGCGCTGTCCCAGCGAAGTTTCCTCGCGGAGCCGCGCCAAGCCCGCCCAGCTTTTGAATGGGGGAGGGAGGTTAGCTGCAGGCGTCCCCTTTCCACGATTGAGGCAGGGTGGCTTTGGCTGGTAAAACCCCGTTGAGGCCCCGTTCTTATCCATCCTGCTCTGGGCTGGCAGGTTTGTGTGGGTCGTAACGAAGAGGAGTCCAAGCTCTCGGAAAAGTAGTTGCTGCGTTTTTCTTTTCTCACTTAACGCGGGGAGCTGGCTCTCTCCTGACTTTCCAGGCTTGCGCTTGAGCGCTTTCTCCTCAAGGGAAAAACTTTCCCTTCACGTTGATATGTGTGTACCTTGTTAATATTTCAGAGCAAATCACGTTCCAGGAGTGCCAAGTGAAGTTGTACGTGTGCCCATATGATAACGTCAAGAGTAAGCTATCCTGAATAAGTGAGGGAGATCCAGAAGTGTGAAGTATAAAAAGCCAGTAAGAATCTGCTTTATGTACACTTCATAGATTTATTAGCAGCTGCCCAGGTTTGACTTCGGAGATGTTAAATTCTCCTGGTCCCATGAGGCGCGTATCAGTACTGCACGCTAAATAAGAGGAGAAAAAAAAAAAAAAAGGCAAACCAAAACAAACTGCTCTAGGTTCCAGATAAGTCATCGAAGCAATTTTCCTGGTGATTCCATCCTGGGACTTTGTGAGTTCCTAGTTTTCTTGGACTTTGCAAGCCTTTCCTTAGCCAAAGCATTCTTTTCTCTCTTTTGTCTTCTTGGGGTTAGTGTGCACATTCACACTTTCGTTCTTAAAAAAAGTCATTTCCATGAATAAGAGGGCTTCCCTGGTGGCTCAGACGGTAAGGAATCTGCCTGCAATGCAGGAGACCTGGGTTCAATCCCTGGGTCGGAAAGATCCCCTGGAGAAGGAAATGGCTACCCACTGCAGTATTCTTGCCTGGAGAAACCCATGGACAGAGGAGCCTGGCGGACTACAGTCCATGGGGTCGCAGTGTCAGACACGATTGAGCTACTAAGCATACAACCATGCATGAATAATAATAGACAAAATGAGATTGACCACTTGATATTTTTTTATCTAGTTGATAGGTATCTGGGTGTTTGTTATGTTACTCATTCCTCTCATGTATATATTTGAGCTTTTCCGTTAAAAACCTTGGCTAACTATCTGTTAAGTAAAACTCAAATCTAAAACAACAGCAAAAAACATCATTTAAAAAAGGCCAAAATGATGACCGTCAAGTTCGTTGTTTAAAAAAGGCCAAAATGATGACCGTCAAGTTTGCTGTTACTCCTTAGTGTGTCTATTGTCAGCACTTTAACTTAGAGCGTGGAAGTGTTGCTTATATGAAAGCTATGGAAATAGCAATCTATTTTGAAGTTCCCTGGGTCAAAAAGGTGAGGACTTTTACTTAGAAAAAGCAGATCGGCTTGTATACTACGTAAGAAAGACCACTTTAATACTTAAGAACATGTTTAAATGGACAAAGTGTTTAATATAGTCATCTTCTAAATCAAATAAAGTAGTCAGACATTTCATTTTTTTCTTCCATTCCTAGTGCCTTTCTTATCCTTTCAAGCAGTACCGTCCAAAGACTGAATTTGACATTTTAAAAATAGAAATTATCTGAATTAATTTGGTTTTACTTAAATTAGAGTTCTACTTTTACATTTTTCTTTTCTTTTGGTTCTTTTCCTTCCTGATTATAAAAGCAATCTAAGCTCCTACAGGACATTGGCAAAATGTGAGAAAATATAATGAAGTGGAGAGGAAGCACCACGACCTTGAGGGCATGGCTCTTATGCAAGATCCATTTTAAAACTTTAGTCACAAAATTTGCTCTCCTTTCTATGAAATTTCTTAATGTAGAGTTGGATGTTTTGGGGGTTGGGAAGGGCATTGGGTATTATGCTGTTCTTCATTCCCCAAAGTGTGGAACTTGGAGGTCACGTCAAGAGACACTTAATGGCTATCTCATCCAACCACCCATCCTTTGAGACTCTGAAACCTAGGTACTGAAGATCCAGTGATTCATGCAGAATTGGACAACACTCAAGGGCAATATTAACTGACTCTAGATCTCCCCGTTCTTTTTTCAGTGATACCTTGCTGCTTAGGTAGAAATATGACACTTAACTGTCTCTGCTTATCATGGAAAGAGAGGTCCAGAGAGGGACAGGAGATGCTTTTCAAGGATTTGAATGTTTTTCATTTAGGTATTCATTTTCTTATTGACATTTTCAGGTTCCAGCTTGAGCATTCTGCAGAATACAAGACGATACAGCTGCTGTTCTCTCCACATCCCAGTCGATTCTCCCTACAAAACTGGGGGGTCTGGGAAACTCTGAGCTTGCTGACCTCAGCGTGGGAGAGAATAGGATCAAGATGGCCACGTGGCAGGGTAAGAAGTTAGTACTTACTCCTCCAACTGGTTTTTCCTCCTCTATCCTCTACCACAACCCAAACCCCCAAGCCAGAGGCAGGCAGCCACACAGCTGTTTCTTTAATTTAACCGTTTGTCTTCGCCAGGACAAAGCTTTTTAGTTCAAAAGGAGTTGCTGCTAGCTAGTTCCGATTATTTTAAAGTAGGAGTGAAGAGGCGTGTGTGGAGAGTAGGAATAGCAGGAAAATGTAGTGCCAGGAGCATTTTCAAAGAACTCCCTTCATTTGAACATGTGCTTATGGGGGTTACAGGTCAGGAGACGGAGGATATTTTTTTTCATATTTCAGTTTATTTGTTTCTGGCAAATTTCCATCATAAGGTTCTCAAAGGTGGGGGAGACAGATGTCAGCACCTCTCTGGCTTTCTCTTCCCAATAAAGACTTTAAAGGATATTCAATGTTATACGTTAATATTAATGTCTGTTCTAATACAATGGCATGACTTGAAAGCAAAGCTTAATGCTATCTTGCCTGATAGAGCACATCTCTTGTGAACCTGTGATTTCTTACCACAGAAGTAACTTTTTATTTTTTGGTGGGTTTGGAGAGTATCAGAATCTCCAGGGTTGCATGGGATTTTTATGTTTATCATAAGGGAGTATGGGTTTAAGAAATGGTAGACAAACACTACGTAAATTGGTCTGTGACCCAAAAAAGGTTAAGAACCACTTAGATGGAATAGAATGAAGGGAGCTCAAATGTCTATAAATATTCAACAGGTGGGTTTGTTGGTGGTCTGATATTTCTTTTAAAACTGTCTCCTGTTGGTTATAGCTGTAACAAGTATTTTTGATATGCTAGGGTTGTCACTTTAAAGATACTTGTTGAAATGAGATTCGGCCTATATGCCTGGTTTGACTCATCCAATGGGCAGTTATCGGGAGGAATTTGGATATTCTTGTTTAAATTCTGAGACATTCTTTTAATTCAACAAGTAGAATATAGAAATGATTAAGATGGAGAACCCTAGAGGGTTCCTTGTCTTATCGAGGAGACAAACTATATAAGCAAATAGTTGTGTCAGGTTGAATAAGTGTTATAATAGAGATGCAAAATGTGACGGATGCTCAGAGAAAAGCATGATGAACTGTGGGTTTTGAGCTGGCCTAAAAAAATGAAAAATGAGTGGGAGTTTGCCAGATGGGCAAATGAGAGAATTGCATTCTGGGCAGACAGAGAAGCACTGTTTGGAAACTTCCAAGTTGTTCTGTTGGCCTCATGTGAGATGTGTGGGCCACGACCTTGGATGAAGCAGGAGAGGTGGTCAGAGGCCAGATAATAAAGAACCTTGTATGTCCTAAAAAGGATTTTACACTTTATCCTGAAGACAAAGATTCTAAACAGGGAAGTAACATAATCAAGTTTTATTTTAGAAAGATTACTTTGGCAGCATTATGGAGGTAGGGTTGGAGCTGGAGAGAATGGAAACCAAGAACCAGTTGGGAGGTTTCTGGTATAGTGACTTAGGGAAGAGATGGTGAGGGTCTGAGCAGAAGGAGGGGCAGCAAGGATGGAGAGAATGAGATGAATTCTGCGAACATTCTGTAACTGGATATGGGAAGAACTGAGCCTGGGTTGACACCCAGTTTTGGGTGCCTGGGGCCAGTGGCGCCATTCATTGAGTCGGGACCATGAAAGGTATGTGGGGTGTGGGGGTGGTGGGAAATTAGTGTACTGCGTTTGGTTTGGCCTGTTTTGTTTGAGGTGCTATGAGCTGTCAGGTCAGTGTTTAAAAGACAGTGCTGAAGGTATGGAATTAGAGTTTGTGCAGGTGGGGAGCTAAAGTTGTGCTCCTGAGTGCATGCTAAATCACTTCAGTCGTTTCTGACTCTTTGTGACCCTGTGGACTGTAGGCTTCTCTGTCTATTGGGATTCTCCAGGTAAGAAAACTGGAGTGGGTTGCCATTTCCTTCTCCAGGGGATCTTCCCCACTCAGGAATCAAACCTGCGTCTCTTGCATTGGAAGGTGGGTTCTTTACCTCTAGTGCCACCTGAGAAGCCCTAGACTTTGTGCAGACGGGGAGCTAAAGTTTTGTTCCTAATGATGCATTAAAAGCGTGTGTTTTCTTTCTGTTTAATGGAAATGTCATTAGTAAGTTAATGATTTATAATAAAAAACATTTTAATGGATAACAGTTCTTAATAAAAATGTCATAATTTCTTAATAAGTAATATATTTTGCTATCTCAGGCCCTGAAATTTGATCTGCTTAGAATCACATTGGAGGCAAACAGCTTTTCTAGCATTAATGAAGAGGGGGAGTATTCCATAGCAGTAACTGCAACTCATTCCTTTGTGCAACCTCTGAAGTGACAAGTATAGTACAGTGATGGTTTGGGTGTCAGTATGGTAGAGTAGTTACAGTGTGGGTCCAGGTTCAATTGTGTTGGTTGTCACTTGGTAGCTGTGAGACCTTGGGCAAGTCCCTTAATCTCTCTGTGTCTCATTTTTCTCTTTTATAAAATGGGGATAACAATAGAGCTTAACCTTGCAAGGTTGTTTTGATGATTAAGTTAATATTAAACAAAACACTTGGAACATAGTAAGTGCCATAAAAGTTTATGCCACTATTATTAGTAGTAAGCCATTTGGAATAATGTCTATCACACAATAAGTGCTCAGTAGAATTTGGCAACGGGCTGCCCAGGTGGCTCCATGGTAAAGAATTTTCCTACCGAGAAAGATAAATACCATATGATCTCATTTATACATGGAATCTAAAGAAAGAAAAAGCAGCTCACAGATTCAGACAATGGATTGGTGATTGCCAAGGATGTGGGGTGGGGTTGGGCTAAATGTATAAAGGAAGTCAAAAGGTACAAGCTTCCAATTATAGAATAAGTCATAGAAATTTAATGTATAGCATGGTGCTTCTTGTTAATAATACTCTAGTGTATATTTGAAAGTTGCCAAGATAATAGATCTTAAATGTTTCTATCATAGTGAGAAAATCTGTAACTGTGTATGGTGATAAAGGTAAACTAGACTCGTGGTGATTGTTTAAATATACATGCAAATACTGAATCAGTATGTTATATCTCAATAAAAAACTTATAAATAAGTTAAAAAAAAAAAAACCCCAAAAGAATCCACTTGACAGTTCAGGAGCTGCAGGTGACAAGGGTTCAATCCCTGGGTTGGGAAGATCCCCTGGAAGAGGAAATGGCAAAACCCACTCCAGTATTCTTGCCTGGAGAATCCCAATGGACAGAGGAGCCTGGTGGGCTGCAGTCAGGGGTTGCAAAGAGTCAGACACAACTGAGCGACTGAGCATGCACACACAAAATTCAGCAATAGCTGTTATTGTTACTAGTACTCCTATTAGTATCACTACTACTGATTCTACTACTGTCATTATTATTTGCTATATTCTGGAATGGACCTGGGACCCCATTCTGTGGAGGGAATTTTGGGTTGTTCTTGGAAGGCCTGCCCCATAGTAGTCTATTAGGGTCTTTCTTTTTTAATTTATTTTTAAATTGAAGGATAATTTCTTTACAATGTGTTAGTTTCTACTGTACAACAACATGAATCAGCCACATGTACACATATATCCCCTCCCTCTTTTGTTTAGGTCTCTATGTAGAGGTTTAGATCTGAAGAGATCCTTAGAAAACATCTAGCCCAACCCCTAGAGGTTTAGTGACATGACCGTGGTCAAATAGGTTAGCAGTAGTGACAGAACTAAAACTCAGGTCTCCTGATTCACTATTTCAATTTTTTCTTATTGACTCTTGGAGCAGGGAATGTGTGGTTCTGTCCTCAGCTCAAGGAAGCTCTGAGTCAGTTTCTGCATCTGCTAGAGCAACTCTTCAGAGCGAGAGGAAGCCAAGTGTCGTTAGTCTCTCAGGTCAATGCTATCTAGTTCCTCCATGGAGAATTGAATCAGAATTCCCATACCTCTTAAACATGGCCAACATTATTATTTTGACTTTGTTTGATGGAGTCCTCTAAGACATTTCCTGGCCATTTTAAACAGAGTTTACTGAGCATAATTTAATATTTTTGATAACTCAGAGTCATCATTAATAACATCAGTTTCATTGGTCTAATGGTCAAGAAAATATTGAAGAGAACAGTAGCCGAGTTGGGGTGGGATGAGGGTGGAGACTTGTGTTGTCAGGTGCCATTTATTTCTTCAATTAACGTCCAGCACCACTTGTGTACCAGGCACTATGTAGAGCCCTGGAGAACACAGGGCTGGGCTCCGCTGTCACAGAACTTACCGACGAGGATAAAAGTAGCATTTCAACTTCATGAAATGCTTGATTTAACAAACATAGTGAAGTAACTTGGAAAAATGACACCAGTGTAAATTTAGAAGGATTAAAATAGTGTTTCTTAATAAAAAGAAGGGGGTGCATTGGAAGTGCCTTTTAAAAATATTCTTGCTCAGTTCTCATCCCCTCAAATTGTGATTCAGTCTTAAGACCTGAGTGTTTAAAGAACTGCTGTGAGCAATTCTGATGTGTAGTCCTGTTTGGGAACTGCTGCATTAAAGAATTAAAAGTTTTAAAAAAATGATAAAGGAACTCAAAAATTATAGGAGGATACTCACATAATTTGGGGGTAGGGAAGATGTTTGTATGCATAATATGAAAGGTAGACTGATGAAAAAGTTTAATATAACCAACTATTAAAATTTCTACACAAAACCATGAGAGAACTAGAAACAACTGCAAAAAGACTCATTATCCTTAATATATAGACTCACAGCTTAATAAGAAAAATGCACGTATTTTACTAGAAAAATGTGCAAAGGATGGGAATAGGAAAATACATAAGCAGAAATCCAGATGGCCAATAAACATGAAAAAATGTTCTGTCTCAGTAGTAGTCAAAGGAGGGGGGGGGGAGAAATAAAATGGCATACCATTTTCTCCAATATAATTTACAGTCATTAAAACGAAATGACAAAATGCAGCTTTGGCAAGGACACAAGCAAGTAGGCATTTGCAT